CGATCGGAGGCACCGTTCTGCTGACACTGGCAGCGGATATAATAGGCTGTTAATATGAGGGACTGTAGCCGCTCACACAGCTGTCCTCTGAATGCGATCCTTCACGGTAAAACCATTTCCTGAAAACGATGTTCATGCTCATCGTCACATGACTGACCTGTCGCCAAGTAAGGTAATTGCATATACTACCAGCTTATTTATTCACTTACTTTGTACTATACCACTTTCAAACTTCATTTACTTAAAACAGAAAATGGACAATTATTCCAACTTCTGCTATAAAAACAACAGCAGATTGGCCATTACAGTTATAGCTGTGTTCACCAATTAAATATTACTTTGACTTTGCAGCATTTTACAAAGACTTGGATAACAATCTACAATAATTTCCCTACGTAACCCTTGATCTGACAGTTTCCATTGCTGCAGTCTAGCATTGCAAATCGGTGTCATTAAAAAGCAAAAATTAGTAGTTGAAAACACTTTATGTGGCCCAGATCATTTCGTTTTATCATCTAATGGTCATTAACCAAACTTCCTTACTAAACTTTCACCGTCTTCTCCAGATGGATTAGTTTGTTTTTACTTTGTCCTTCTTATAGGGTATCTGTCTACCTGCCTGTCGTCTCGTCTTTATATAAAACAATCAGTGTTTCTGTCCATCTCATCCCGCTTATTGTAAACTTTCATCTCCAGAAATGACTACAAAATATAACTCCAGTCTTCCCTGCTTGAATGCCTATTTCAAATCTAGCATAATAAAAACCATGTTAACTTTGTTTTACGCTGGTCATGGAGGAATGCCAGAGGTGTTCAGCTGGGGTTCATGTATTTATGTAGAGATTTTTAGACTTTCATGAGGTTTCAATCTTTCCTGGTGCTAATGTCTGATTAGTTCCTTTGTCGTCTCCCGTTCCTTACAAAATGAGCAGTCGTTGACTTAATAAAATTGTTCAGAATAAGAATGATTGTCACTTTGTCTTTAAGTCCCGCTCGCTCTCCTCCCCATCGCTTCCTCCTCCCCTCTTCTGTTTGTTTGGTATGCCAGCTGAGTTTCTTCCAGACTTTCTGACAACTCTGTCCTTAGAAATCAGAGATCTCGTAAATCTTTCAGCGTCGCATTAGCATTCCTTTAATGCCGTTGTCTCTTCCCCCCCCACCCCTCCAACAAACGCGCATACACGCCGAGTTTCTCCAACTTCAGATGGGCGAGCCTCAGACAAGAAAGGGAGTGAGTTTGCGACGGAGAATGCTGGTCAGATAAATACACTCCATTAACCTACCTCCATGCCCGGTCTCCTGCTGTCCAACTTGCACAGTCCTGATTAATGAGGCCGCTTCTGGAGTCTCGACTTCTCTCAGCAGACACCTACATCCCAATCCCTCAACCCCTCTCCTCTTAAACCACACGCCTTTCATCTTCGCTCAGCCGACCCGACGTCCGTGTTTTTCTTAGTAAAAACAGGAGCATCAAGTGAGCGAGAGTGTAAGCCTTACAGGTGAAGCTAATCATTTCCAACCAACCAGGATTCAAAGTGGAGATCACACATCTGTGTGCTCATAGACACGGAGACAGCACTGTGTAGCTTAGGCTGCAGTTGAAAAAAATAGTGTAGTCTTGACTAAGACTTGTAAAGAGTGACTCTTGACATGTGCCTGGTTCACACGGCAAGATTTTAAAATCGTTGACCGGCTTTCCAAACATCAGAGACCACACACACGATGATTAAAAAAAAACTTAGGGATGACAGGTTTGGTGGTACAGTGTGGAGTGACACACCACAACCAAACCGATTCCACTCATTAACACTGTGATTTCAGACAGAAAACCTCTCAGAGTAAACACACACGGCCAGCTAGGAAGAAGCAATGACGATAGTTTGTGGACTAAATCTACCACAGATAAAACGATACAAAGACATCGTCAATGTCCGCCGGGCGTTCTGGTGGGCCATAGCAGTTGTTTTGTTTTCTGTGTGCATTTTGAATTCCCCTCAGTGTTTCTGTCACCTCGCTTCCTGATGGGCTAAACGACACATTCAACAAGCTGTGCCCTGATTTCTCGTTAGAACTTGCGTTCTCGTGAACCGGGCATTGGTTTCCAGGTCTGGGACTCAAAAAGAGTTGTTATCTGTTCTTATCGTAGCTGAAAATAAGACAGTAAGTCTGATCAGTTTGCTTGTAACTTGTAGTCATAGCAACCGCATTAATAGGGCAGGATGGGACTAATGGGGTTGTTAGTCATGAGTCCCTGGTCGTACTCATTGTTCTGTTCTTTGGGTTAATGCCACTTATCGTAGCATGTGAGTAGCACACGTTTGAAGGTGTGAATGGTAGTGCAGACAAGAAGACGGCACGGTAGGTGCTAGAAGGATCAAATCTGAGGCCACCTGTGTTGGGTTTTTACAGTCTAGAATCCCCGTTCTGCCTTGCGATCTTCAAGAGTGCTGTAGATGAATTACTGAGGCTTGACGCTCTTCTGCGTTGGGACGGTGCTTTTGTCTAGATGCTTTTTAGTTTCTCCACTGCAGAGGTCTAAACATTCCTCACTGCCCAGGACCGCATGCATCACATCACTGAGCTTGTGTTTGGGGGTTTTATCCATCAGGGAAGCCAGTCTGTGTGTTTAAAATATGCTCCGCCTGAAATATAGCCTTCTGAGTCTCTTGGACACTTCATCCACATTTGGAATGACAATGTTTTTCCAGCTGTACTTTCATCCTTCTTTGAGCTGGGCACAGTGTTTTTGATTGTTTTTATTAATCTTGGATCTCTTTATAAAAGCCCAGTTGGGGTATCTACTGCTTAACAGGCTTTTCATCGACCTTAACATCCCTATTAATGTGACCAATTTATAAGCCTGAAGCTCCCAGCTCATCTTCAGAACTGAAGAAACCTTTAGGTTTTAATGTCTTCAGGAAATGAGAACAAGTTCAGTTACATTTAAGTACTTTAAGTATTTATGAACACTGAGAATCTATCCTTGTGCTTGTATTCATAGCAATTACTTTATTCTCTCACTTCTGACCTTGCATCATTGACACTACCTGTGTTTCCATTGTGCATTTTTGCATTTCGAAAAATATATCTGCTTAAAGGAAGCAACAATCGTGTTGTCATTTTCCAACAAAACGTTTTGGCCCTAGAATGAAGGGGGTATTTTTGGCTGAATCAAAATTGGTTTATTTTGCAAAACTGCAAGGGAATCTTTTTTTTTTTTGTGGTGTCATGAGTCACATGATCAACAACCGGAAGTTGCCACTGATGGAAACCACAAAGAAGAAGACGACAGGAAGTAGTTGGAGGATCATGGCGCAGCATTCTTTTTAATGATTTATTGCATAAACAAACTTATTCACATCTGACTTTAATTAGGTTTCTCATTTCATGGAAACATCGTAATAGCAAAATTGTGTGCTCCTCGACATTAATGGAATATTGACAACATTTTATGCACATTTGTAATGAAAACCCAGCTACTGACATTTACGGTTCTTTGAAAGTAAAAGCACCCCCTCTTTGATTAATTCAGACGTTTGCTGTTGAATTGTGTTAATGTTCCATGTAGACTTTTTTTTTTACTTTCTAGAGTAAATATACTCTAGAAATTAAGTAATTAATTAATTACTTAATTACTGGCAGTATTTTACATGCTGATTTGAATGTTCAATAAATAAATAAAGCTGGCAAGAGTTTGTGTTAAATTTGACCTAAGGAATGTTTGAATTAATAAACTTCTGCAGTTCTGTATTGCAAGTAGTAGTTTGAGGAGAGAGTGTTAATTTTCTTCACTTGAAATTTGACTCGGATTTGGAAAAATGAACGTTTCTTTACACACCGATCGTCTGAGGTGATTGACGCTCGTATGAAGAGCTGCTTGCACTCGAAGCAGAGCCGCTGCGGGACATGGTCCTGGCTTGTGTCCCAGACCCCCCACTGTTTGTCTTGACCTGATTTTCCTACATTTAGTTTGTCCTGCTCTCCGGAGCAAAGCACCACTGGCTGAGATTCCCTCTCCAAACAGGTCAAGTTTACCAGACTTGGTGCTTTTAAAGAGAAAATCAAATGCCATCTGGCTGATGTTTATGTTTTATGTGTTTTAAACGGTCTTGGCATCATTAATTTTGATGAAGAGAAGCACGTGTCTTAGAGGTGTTATGGTAACGTGGAATTAGGGGTTCAGTGGCGGTGTGAGCTTCCCAACCTGTCCAACAAATTCAGCATTAACGAAGACAGCCAGAGCAACTCCCCTGTGCCTAATGGAGCCTGAACAAACCGAGGCAAATAAAACGGCTCCTTCTACACAACATTTAGGTTCAAGTGTAGGTCAGTGGTAGCAGGGAACACTGCCAATACCATTGAATTATTCAGAATGATTGTAAAAGAGCAGCACAAGCTCATATTTACTTTATGGTACGTCAGAAATTCTCATTGATTATATGTTAGGCCTGTGCATAAATCACTTTGCATCTGACTGACTCTCATTTGGGTTCAATATATATGTTGATGACTCTTTCTAAAGGTGCATATATCAATAAATTCTGGCGCATTGCTCAGGATTTATGTACGGCTTAATTTGGGCATCGTTTTACTTGTGACGCATCGTTTGTAACGATGGATGATGTTTGGAAACCCTAAAAAGTGGTTGACCGTCAGTATTGTGTATTTTCCCTACTGTTCATTCCATTAGAGCATCGATGAAAATGATTCAATGCAGATCAATATTTTTGATTTGTGTAGCTCTGACTGCAGTGACAAGCACAATAAGTTGTACTTACTTTATTATTGTCTCTTATCAGTATTACAATAAATGCCACCAAATCTTTAAACATCTACATTTTAGCATGTTTGTTGATTCTTTATTATTTTAGTCAAAGTTATAAAGAGCCACTTTAAACTCCAGAGCCTCAGGTTGGAGACCCTAGCTCTAAACTTGTACTAAAAACCTCGTGTCTAAACTTTTATCTTCTCTGTATTTTTTTATTTTTTGTCTCACACAGATTTGTCGTGGCTGAACTGGTGTGTAACCGGCTCGTGTCTCTTCAGCCTCGTCCTTGTCCTCTTCTTCAGGGAGTCCTACGATCGTCTCTACCTGGACGTCTTTGTGTCCGTGTGACACTTACGAGGAAAAAAAAACCGAAGAAAATCGAGGCTATTTAAACACCTGCTCTTGCACAGAGAAGAGGAGAAAAGGGACACGGAGAGCAAGTCGGGAAACTCTACGCTCTTTGTGAGATGTAAAATTTTAGGACGTAAATGTATATATGTATACCTGTAAAGCCGCGGTGAGGGTGATGCACGTTTCCGCCGTAGAGAGGCGTCAATGTTTACACCTTAGAAGTAGCTAGCTCGAGGTCTGATGATGGTTCGACCTGTTTTTAACGGTTTCCTCTGTTTGTCCGTGAATGAATTGAGGCGGACCCACCTGAACAAACAGTTTCCCCGTCGCAGATAGTTTGGAAGCTTCTATAGAGTGACTTTACGTCTCACTCGCCTCATCTCAAAAGTAACCGGAAAACTCTCCTCAAAGTTTACAAAAGGGACGTCAGACAGAGTAAGGCTCATCGCCGAGCGACTTTCATGCACATTGAAGTGAGGACTGGTCCCTTCAGGAATTAAAACTGGGACCTCCTCGTGTTTTAGTGCCGGCCATGACTCACCGGGAGGCTTAACTGACCCTGCAGCGTTAAGCGACCTGTGATATTGCCCGTCAGCGAAAAGCGAGTCACTTGAATTGTGTTTTATCGCCCTCTCAAAATGAATATTATGCAAAAAAAAAAAAAAAGAGAGAGAAAGATGCCGTCAGATCGACAACTGGACGCCAGCCAAAGACGCGGCCTTGCGACCGGACTCACTGGAGGGTTTTCTGTTCTGTTCTTCAGCCCATTTATGACTAATTATGTCCATAATTTTAATATAACTTTAATTTGTTTTGTACAGCTTTTTTTTTTTAAATCATTCACTTTTCTTCCTAAGCGGTGTGCCAGTATTTATTGAAACAAAAAAAAGCCTCAACACTAACAAGACAACAGCCAGAAATAAGAAGTTTGATGACAGACCTTTTATTTATAAGTTTTTTTGTTCAAAGCACCAGCAGCGTCCTTTGCAACAACTTACTAAAAAAAAAAAAAAACGAAGTAGTAGTCCATCTCATGGATTTGCCACTACAACAAAAGCACCTGAATATTAATCTCTGCTGTAGAGGGAAAAAATAGGTTTTGTCTAACATGCTTATTTTCTGGTGTGTTTTTTTTTTCTCCCAGAAACTATAGGAAGTTTTTTTTTATGTTTTCCCTCTGGAGATAAAGAAGGCTGCGCAATTTGTTCCTGGTGCTGTTTTTTCCTCTCTCGCCTTGTAAAGAAAAGGTTCTTTCACCTGCAGATGTGTTGCCTTAATTATCCAGCGCAGTGCATTCAACCCCCTCCTTCTCTCCACACTGTGAATATTTTACCTCTGGATTATGTCAAAGGTCATTTTCTGTTTGGTTTTGTTTTTTTTTACACTATGTAGTGTCCTGGGATTTGGTTATTACTTTGAGTTCCTTTGGGATAAAACAAACACGACTGTCACAAATGTTCAGCACCTTATTAAAGTGATGATTTTACAAATTACAGTTCACATTTTTGTCTGTTATTATGGTTTGCCTTTGTTATCTTCTGAACCCCTGGTTGCAATGCCTCGCTAAAGTATTACAGTCTTGTCTATTTTATGTGATAGATTTACATAAAGTGGTGCATGATTGTGGTTGAAAAACTATTAGTCAGTAAGGTTATCAATTAATGTTCCAAGGGTTACATCTGCAATATATTTTCCAAACATGGAAAACGTTTGGAACATCAGTGCATCTACAAAAGCATTAAAATTTTGTTTATAAAAACAGCTTATCAACTCTGGAGGAGTAGAGGGGATCTGCAACTCGGGTGGATAACTGCTGTCAGAACAGCAATTAATCTGGGCTTCAAAGAAGAATGAAAAGGGGAAAAAAAACCATAAGAAATCCCATTAAGTTTGGTACAAATTGTGTAGACGACACAGAAAACGAGTGAAGAAAGGTTCTCTGTTCAACTAAGACTCAAAAGTTCTTGGCTTACATGGAAAACATTAACCTGAACATGGTAGTCGAGCATAAGCCTATTCCCTTTTGTGGTTAATTACGGGTTTGTAAATTATCATTTTGTTTTGTTTTCTGTGTGTAATGTTGATAATTTACCAAAGTAAAGTGAAACTGAACTAAGCTGAATACGTCACCTCCACGTGAAAATGTTGGTGTCGATATCATGATGTGGGGAAGACTTTCTCTACAGGTAAAGTCATGGAAAGACGTCTGCTAACAATCGGCAAAACAATTTAAACTGAGAGGAAGGTTGACCTTTTCACCAGGACAACACAGCTGAACATTAAACCAGTTCTATGTGGAAGGTTGCAGGAATTGGGTACCACAACTGTTGTTGATTGGTTAAAATTCACATCTTTGCTTAAAACTGCCTGTTTTAATAGATGAAATGCCAAATATATATTTTTATACCTCAATACTCACAGTGGAAACTAAAGCTAGCGTCCACAATTCAGCATCCTTATGTTCGTTCTTGGGGTAAACAGTCAATCAGCGTCAACATGACATCCATTTTCCTTTGTAAATGACACAAAAGCATCCCAGCCACAAGCTGCAGTTTCTTCTTGAATATTTTAGAAATGTTCATACAGAAAAACGCAGAGAATAGGTGAATTTTCCATAAAGAATTTGTAGTTGCCTTTCACAGAAAAAACTGCGAATACTGAACTGCGAATAGGCGTGGCTTCATTTGGCATAGATTAAAACTTATTTATGAGTGGGTTTTGCTGCAAAGAGTAGATATACAGCTTAGCTTAAAGGTACCTACCTGCAATGATAGCTAATACTTTGACACGATAGACTGAGGTGGTTAAATACAAATGCCTGCCTTGCTTTTCAACTTTCGTTCACTCAACTTTACAAGGTCTACTTCCTTTGTGTTGGTCGCTCACATTAAATCAGATTTAAACTGCCATTTGTGTTTTCTACTGTGAAAATGTAAAAGTTTGAGCGGTGCGAATGCACCGTGTAATCTTTGACAGAATGGGGAGACTTTTACATGCTGTCCTATTTCTATTTGCGCCCGTCGTGCTTTATCTGACTTTTCGTTGAAGTTTCCTTCCATTATTATCAGCCAAAGCCCATTGTTTGCTCTCCACAGAACCACAGCTGAAGATTTTCTTTCATGCATCTCTCACGATTAATTCCTTTTCAGCTGAATGCCGAACGCATTTAAGAGTTTAGAAATTGCTTTTGCTCCGTTATGTTATTCATTATGTAATTTCCCTTTGTTGCTCTTTTTCTCCCCATTGTGCGCCGCTGCGGTTGAAATATTGCATTGAGCTGGAGATGCTTTTTTTTTGATGCTCTTTCGCATCCACGTCCGATTCACTGGAGTTAAATCAACCAATCAATTCCAGCTAATGGGTCACTTAGGAGCAGTTCCTCATAATACCCCTCCAAGCCCATGTAAGCTGAAGCTTCTCCATAGGCTAATTTCGATTTAATACACCATGTCATTGCTCCTCCATAAAGTTGCTGGCAATTTTGAAAGAAAATCGAAGGAACAGAGGCAGAAGTTTTTTTGTTGTTGTTGTTTTCACTTTTTGGCATGGTTCAATCCATTCATCAGAGCCTGCCTGGCTGGAAAATGAGTATTTTTTTATTTATTTTTTCTGACCTCGACATCTAGTTCCTGTTTTCCATTAGAAATCTGATGACATCAGCATTTCTCGCTGAGGCTCGGCGGAGCTGCAGTGTCATCCTGAACTGATTGCAGGAGTCGAGCAGATCTAACCATGACTGATGCTCCAGACCCTGAAGTTGCTTGGAGGAACTGGCTATACATTCTTTTTTTTTTATAGGTGTCTTTGTGGACTTACTGCTTTATTATTAAATTGAATATAATTTCAGATTTTGGTATAATTTCCTTCCAGGTTGACATAAAAAGTCAGCCGTTATTGTTACTGGTTAATTACAAGTACAGAAAAGAAAATGTTAGGGATGCACAAATTTGAAAATTCGTCGGACCCCCACTCCGGTCCGACGGCAGCAGGGGACGGACAGAGAGTTACTGTGTTATTTATGAAATCCAAAACTTGACAGGTTTGCAATGTGCTCCTGGAGCTGGTCCCCAGCCCAGATGAAAGGAGAGGGCTGAGTCAGAGAAGAAAATCTAATTGATATATTTGGACATATATTTGGTTCTTGAAGATTCCTAGGGTAATAAAAACTTAAAATCTTGTTTTAAATTTCAACCAAACATGTCTTTCCTTAATTCTTTTTCTATTTATTTTCTGTCCTAACCCTAAAAGAAGTTGGTTTTTCACTTAAAACAAAGCATATGTCTTGGCTGTCGTCTTGAGGGTTATATGCACAGCAAAGGTAACAGCTATTTTGACTGTGTTACAGCATCTTTCATTGCGAGTATCTTCTATTGCGAATGGTGCCAGCCCAAGGCAAAGCAAACTAAGCAGCTGCGTAAGCCCATCCAGAACTACAGGGGGCTCCATAAATACTTGAATTTTAACCATGGATCTAGAACTTTAACATTTGTTTATTAAGAAAGGTTTCAGCACAGATCAATTGAAAGAGTCGCTTAAGATTTCAAGAAATTGTTGGGTTTACTTTGAAAAAGTGTAAAAACTAAGCTTTATAATTTGAAATTATTAAATCTGATTTTAACCCTCGTGTGCAACAGTGAAGTATGTCAGACCCCGCTTGGCAAAACTGCAATGCGTTATGGTGGTGGTGTTAGTTCATAACAACAAGGATCAAGTTGGCTTCCTCTGTGTTACAGCCTGGATCACAGAGGAGCTAGCTAACTGTGTTCAGTGAGAGGCATGGCTAACGTGTCTAACGTGAACTCTGGTGTTTGTCTATTATTGTAAGGTGACAAGTAGTCATTGTGCTGTTTGGTGACATTGTGTGTATCACACTGAATATGAACCACAGAACAGCAGCAGGTTGGCTTCCTCTGTGTTACAGCCAGTAACACAGGGGATGTAGTAGCACAATTTTTTTGTTGTTGCGATGTGAGAGCTCCTGTTTGTGAAAACTCATGCTTCGTTGCTGGTGAGCACAAAACTCTCTGCACGCTACAATCCCATGCAGCATCGCTTATGTGTATGAGATTATTAGGATGCTAATTTGTTGTGACCTAAGGCAGGATGTTTGGGTTTTTATTTTTGACATATTCAGAAAATTAACAAGTAGAAAAAAAAAAAAAAAAAAAACGTCTGGATGGTTTTAAGCTGGGTGAGACCTCAAATTCTTGCCATAACCCAAATCTATCCCTGATGGAAAACTATCCCTGATGGGATGTATAACGAATCCACTGCAGGGAGCCTCTCACACCATCGTGCGTTCATCACACCGATTGAAAGACAAAAGGTTTGTTTTGGCTCCTCAGTTTATCGACGTTGCATTGACAGCGTTCCAAATTATTCCATTGAGCTTTTTAGTTCGCTTGTATGATGCCAAAATCAAGCTATGAAAAAACCCTAAAACTTTTAGTAAAGCTGACAATCTGCCAAAGAAAAACATTATTAGTCCTAATTATTGTATTTATATCAAGATTTTGCTTGGAGAGTCCAGTTCCAATAAACGGCCTCATGGAACAGTTGCTGAGCCAAAAAATAAAACTGATTTTTTTATATTCAGTGTCTTTAGAGTGTTTGTGCTGATCAGACAGACACAGACGCTCCGTTATTACAGCTGACCATGTCATAAAATGGATTTTGGATCTAAACCTCATCAGTATGCAGCAAAAATCTGTTTATGTAATAAGCACCTATCTATTTATTTATTCCATCTATCTCATGAAAGGGAAAAAAAGCATGATTGAATCAGAATCCCTCTGAGAAGAGGAAGGAAAAGAAGAAGACGAAGCTTCTCGTCTTACAAAGAGAAACTCCTTCAGGCTTTCACCGGCAGTCGGCCTTTGGGGGGTAAAAATAAATAAATTTTGGAGATTCAGAGACGATTCCAACATCCGGTATAATACAGGGCTTTTCAAAAATAAATCGTACTTTAAGACTGTTTCACAATTTGTGAGGTTATAACCACAAATTCCACTATTATTGGAACCGTATGAGTTAAAACACTGTCCAGATATGAAGTGCAAGGAAAGTGATAAATGTTTCTAAACATCTCCTGTAGCAGTCTGTGTTACAGCGACTCTGAAGAAGCCTCTGACTGAAGACACTCTGTTGTGTAAGTTTCATCCTTCGTCTCACAATCATCTCCACATGTTCCAGCCTTCTCTATAAACCTTTCAGATTATTTGGATTGCAATAAATAATTGTATGGGGACAGGGGGTAAATACCTTTGCAAGGCACCTTTACAAAGATGTGTTTCTTCTTTTAGAAACTGTTCACAAAAGGTACTCAGGAAGGTAGTTTCATCCTGTCAGCTTCCTCCTGTCAGAACTGGATCTGGGACAAGATGAACCCACAGAAAAATATAACATTACTCAACTTTTTAACTTCAAGCAATTTGGGTTTCACGCCTTTGTTCCTGTCAGAGCCATAAAACCGACAGTTGGGGCAGACAAAAACTAATGTTGCCATCTCTGTGCCTGGCACTTTTATGTCACTTCTACTTTACACACTGTCGTTAAGTTTTTTGTTTTTTTTTCTACGTTGCCTCTCCTTTGAGACGTCTTCGTTTTTCTTCTTAGAGCGACTTTAAATTTACTCGCGTCTCCTTTTCCAGCGTTGCACCTCGGTGTCTCCTTGGGGCTCCCTGAGCTCCAAAAGTCCCTTAATTGACTTCGCCGGGATTATGAAAAATGAGTCATGCTTTCAAATGCCTCATTTAGCAGAACGGCTATCGCAGCGCCCGTTACTTTATCATCAGCATATTAGAAAGGGCTTGGTGTGCTTGATGAGGAGCGATGGGCTGCAGGAGCCCAGGCTCTCTCTGTTTGACATCTGGCCACTAATTTGGCACTTCATCACTGGTGAATCTGAGCTATCTGGCTGCCCCTCTAGGAAAACAAAACATACATTAGGATGAGTAGGCCACCGATATTTCAGTAAACCCACTATAACACTTTTATTAGGTGTAAAAGACACGCAATTTCAACCCTAGTATGCCGCTAATATGATGTTTTAACAACACTGTTTTACAGAGACAACATAAACGAATAGGGTACAATTATCTTCGAAAGTAAAGACCTTTTTAATTGTAAAACATGTTTTTATCAATTCAAAAGTTTGCTTAGATAATTCTGGAAAAAATAAATAAATGTAGCTGTTTGGAAAAAAAAAAACAAGTCTAGCAACTCGTTAGCTGCCAGCTAGCTAACTGCCTACAGAAGGTGGCGTTAATGCACAAGAATAACAGCACTAAACATGAGAAAATGTTTTCTGTTGAGGCTTTGTGTCAACTGACATTTTTTTACTTCATCCTACTTTGACTAAGATCAATGTTAGGATATAATTTTTCAAATTTAACTTCTGTACGCTCTATTTGTTGCGGGATGGATACCTCATATCTTCAGCAGTCACTGGGTGAGAGGCTGGTTTAATCCTTTCTATGCTCCCAAGGCAATCCCCTCCCCCACTCCACCCCCCACAAAATCTGTTGTTGCTACAAGAACTACAACTGTTAGAACTCCTCGTCTGTTTTACTGATAATACCGTGGGACAGGTATAAAATAAGTTTATTTCATTTTTTTTAGTCACCCAGTAACCATGTGTGGCTTGTGATTTTCTTTTGTCGAAATCTTTGTGCTTTGGCTTCGTGCAAAACTTTTATTCCAAACAAAAATAAATAATCTGATCAGTACTAGCTTAGACCTTTAGTACCGATCAAGATGACTTAGCGTTAGCATTAGCTATATGAAACTGCTGTCACATTTTGAGATGTGATAATCAGTTGATTGAGTCAATAAAAAGAAAAATGCATTGTTAAAATTGTAAATGGCCGTTACCTTGTTTGGATTTAGGTTGGACCAACTTAGTTAAAAAAAAACAAAAAAAACGTGCACGTTTATAAAGGATTTGTTTCATAGTATTTTTAAATTAATTACCCAGTTGAACTAAAAGTTAGATGGTGAATGCTCATAAATACACCACACAAGTATAGTCCATTGCCTGACCAACTTTTACTACCAGTTTTTCATCTCCTGCGGTTATTTTTGAAGCCTTTAGCACATGGAGGACATATTCCGACATAGCTTAAATGGACATAGCTTAACGTCATTATGAAGAACAGAGAAATATGTTAGAAATATCCGGATCTGGATGGCCGTAGGTGTTGAATCATGAAGTGTTCTCTGATCCAACATGCTCTCGTTAGTTGTAAAACTTGCCACTACAAACTTTCCGAGATGTTCAGAAGAGAGGGGAGGTTGTACCAGTTATGGCAGGTTCTGCTTAGCCGAGCCTCCACGGTCCTAATGCATCAGGACATTGCCCTGACGGAAGCAGCATGTCCTCTGAGCAAGAGCAATTATGATCACCATGCAGGCGGAAAGCCTGTAGCCAGAGAACAGCAAGACGGGCTATGATCCAGCAGGCTGCCTATTTAAATCACAGCTCCCCTTCGCCGCAAACTCCAGCCTCGGCTAATGTAGAAGGACTGTTAAAAAAAATAAAAAGAACCCTGGGCTCTTTGCTGGCTCCTGGGAGTATTTTTGTATTATGATTTAGAGCCTTTTCACCTCTTAAAACATAATTTGCTTCCCCCAGTCCTTCCTCCTCATCAAAAGGTGATTGAAGCTGCTTTTGTGTTACACAGCGCACTGCAGAGAAAGTTCTCCTTTTGGTGGTTATTAGGCAGAATGGCTCTGCGTCGCAGCATGCGGAGGCAGCTTTAAACAGTACAATGACTTTTGAAAATGTCGCCGTAGCTCCGATTTTTTTTCTTTTCTTTTATTTCGGCTGCAACACTTTGAGGAGAAAGAGATGGCGTGGTCAGAAGATGACCTTCATATTTCAACATCACACGCTGTAGGACACAACTCTGTTGTGTCCCTATATTAATTGTAAGATATACTATATGTATCAGTAAGCATAAATTTGGACTCTGTGCTTTTAGTTTGTGATTTTTCTGGAGTGGAGTTACTAACACGAACTGCTTGTGCAAATTTGAATGTACACACACACTCAAAAAATACACCCACATCCCCACTGATGTTTGATTGACTGACCCCAACCTCTACACTCTTCTTGTCAAAAGTCGAGTTTATTTATATTAATTTGTTTCCTGGCTCAGAACTTTCCTGGCTTTAAAGCATTAATCCATCCATTTCTTCTTTCTTTTTTTTTTTTTAAATACTGCTGAGGTCAGAGATTTTCCAGAAATTTGAGATTAATTTACCTTGTCCCTTCTAAGTCCAGTTTTGAGTTGCGTTTGAGACCGTTTTCATGTGAACGCCCAACAAGGTAGGTCCTAGTTTCAACTGGAAAGAAACAGATTATGACGATGCAACCAAAAAAGCACGTAGCGCCGTGAACCGGAAGTTTCCGGAACATGGGTTTAACATCAACGCAAACTGAGAAGGACCGAGAAACAAGTGGCAGCTCTAAAATCGACACTTTGAGCGGCAACTTAAAAGTTGCCACAAGTACAACCTAAATCTTTTCTGAAAAAGACATTTAATGATCAGAGAAGAGCGAGGTTGGAGGCTTTTCATATCCAAGAACACTGACTAATGGTGGTAGTGTGTTGTACAAAGCAGTGAGAATAATAAAAAAGGAGAACGACATGCATGTTTTCCAACATTACCTCATAACTAAGACCCAAAGCTTTTCCAGCAACCATAAGTTAACTGGTTTTAGCATTATGGCTGATCAGTGACTTTATATAGAACCTTAAAAGTCCCAAGACACGTTCAATCTTGTCTCATTAGTTACTTGGTTGCAGGTCACAAGTTCTTTCTTCAAGCATTTTTACCAAGAACCTTTAAAACCTGAACCAAAATCTACTCCCCCCTCCCTTTCTTTGTGCACCCAATCCCAGAGATTTCGTTTCCTCAGTTTTACCACTTCCTTATAGTTTGAAAAATAAAAAATAAAAATATTCCACCTGCAGGAGCTCTGAAAGAATATTATTAATTTAGACCAGTTCCTGTCTTCATGAGGACATCTGTTGTTGCATTGCAAGTTAACCTTTTCTCTTTCACAAAGATTTTTTTCTTCTTTTGTTTATCCTGAGCAGTAACAGAAAAACAAATTAGTTTCTCTGTGTATATTCGTTGGCAGCAAAAAAAAAAAAAACTCATTTTGCATTTTAATCTTTTTCACTTCATCTACTTTTGTTTTTTTTTTTACAAGATCCATAAAAACAAATTTGTTGACTAAAAATATTTCTGATGTGTGTGAGTACACAAAACAAGCAGAGATTAAAAGGCACAATATGCCAAAATGTGAACAGCATTTTTTGTTTAAGAAAAGAAGATGGAATAACTAATTTATCAATTTCTCTGCACAGAGCAACTGGAAGTTTAAAATAACACAAAAAAATAAGCATGAAACATGTTGACATATTTCTTAGCAAGTACATTTCTAATTGGACTACTGGTATAAAGTTCTCATTTCAGTTGTGGGTTGAGTTCTAGATTTGTATAGCTAAATGTTGGTTCTCCATGTTTTATTCTTGATCTGGGTTGCTAAGTAATAAACTAACAGGAATTTCTCCATGTGTTGCTTCAATATCAAAAGTAAAAAGTTAAATGTTGGTCTAAAGTAATAAGTACTCCACAATTTCTAAAAGAAAAGGAAAAAGCATAGCAAATAAGTAGGATGAAATGACGCCATCAGGAAGGATATGACACAAAAAGGAAAACATTTTCTTCACTTATGCTAATTGAATAAACATGCAGAAAACATTCATATAGTGAGCCAAAAAGACACCAAGCTGTTTATCAAACACAAAAAATGTATGCACAATGTACAATGCTAAGAAAACCCAAAAAACAATGTTAGAATAGTTAGTAAGAAAAAAAGCTAAACACTGTTCTGTTGATTTTCAGCCACAGTTTTGATGAGATGACAATAAAGTCTAACACTGAACTGTAGCCAGGGATCTTGGTGCCAAGACCACATATGCTTGAACATGGTGTTTGTTATGGACAATACATGATGACAGAACACCACTCGGGTTTAGATCCTGTCCATGCTCACATCATTGCCCACAGGAGAGTTGAAATCCCCCGGCAGAACAAGGAAGTCCTCAGGAGGGGCGCTCTCCACCACTCCAGGAGCAGATAACCTGAAACATAATTTAAGTCTTCGGGCTAGCGGTGTAAGACGCTGGTTCTGCTCTCGCTGTTGGACCGCCGCTTCTGGGACGTAATATTTTACTAGCATAGCACCGTTTCTGCTAAACCCAGCAGTGAACTCTCACACCGGACATCTGCTTAAAGCTGCAGCACGTAACTAAAACAAATAAACAAAAAAAGATTTTACATACGTTTTAAAGCTTTCACTAAGAAATAGATACTCAAAAAAAAAAAAAGATCAATCTCCTCTGCCTCCTCCCTGTGTTCTGCAGAATTACTCCACTCAGTCAGAAACAGCCAATCAGAGTCGGCATTAATCAGCTAGCCATGCTCTCAGGAAGTTTTGTTTTGATTTAGTAACTATTGTTTGATTGTTTATTTTGATGCAACCTGCATATGACTTTGAACGAATGTTTTACTTGGCATTATTTGATATAGGCAGTGTTGTGAGATTTATCTGACTTAGGGTACTGAGAAAATTACTGTTAAATATTGCTTTACTTTGAATAAACAACACTGTTTTCCAGATCATTTTTCCAGATCACATAGTAGCATTATTATCTGTTATCCTATATCCTAGCAATTTTTCTACTCCCTTTGTGACAACAAATGCAAAGCCTGAACCTAAAGCAAAAATCATCTTAACTACAGTTGAAATGGTTTCTAAAATCAGTGTCTGACGTCGTCTTAGTGAAATACCGTGTCAAGATTTTACCAGCACCAGAAAAACGAATTGTAATAAAACTGCCCCCTCTTTTTCTGACTTACAAGACACAACACGATTATGTTGTCGACTACCTGATGCTCCATGAAAGCCAGAGTCCATCCAGCAGAACAGCCCAAGGGTTTAGTTTGGTCACTGAAAACCTTTTTTGGCCAGACTCGGAAGCCACTTCTGCTTCAATTGAGGGATTGGCTGTCCCTCAATTTTAGTGCAGACTTTGTGGACAACCTCTGCGCTCTTTCAGGTACTCAAGACGGCAACATGTCTTGGACTCCCTGATGCCTTGATACATCAACAACTTCACAAAAAGTCGTATTGTGTCTTTTCTCTGTTTCACAAAGGACTTTCTCAGTTCTTCGATTTTACATCTCATTGTTATCAGTTCCTGGACAATACCGATAACAGGTTCCACCAAAGAACTGAGCCCTAAACCCAGCTTGAGAAATGCTATGGGGTCTTCCTCATCCATAGGAGATGTGACCAAAGATATAACATGCTTTAGGAAAAGCAAGTTAAATACATGAGTACACTCTGCCTGAATGTTCTCTTCAATCCCTATAGCCTGGGCAAAAGCCTGAGAAACCAGGTTTCCAAATATGGCTTTTAAGTCGCCATATTTGTACTTCAGGTTCTCAAGTAAGTCCAAAACAAAATCAGAAAAAACCTCCGTCAGGTAGCGCAGCAGGTATTTGGTCCTCTCTGTGACGCTCTCATCCAGTTGCAACGATTCAAAATCCTCCCAATCTTCCTCTGGAATTTGATAAATAAATTCCTGGATCGCAGGTATTGCATAGACTTTGACTAAAACCTGCAGATCTCGTCTTAGTAAATCCTTTGCCATTTTGTTGAATTAAACTGATTTGTAACCTCTGGAACTGTCTTGGAATGTGGCAGAATTTTACCAACAGGGCTTAGATATACCCCACAACAATATATATATATGTATATTATATTAATTCTCAGGTAATATTAATATTGCATATATATATTTCCTATACTCACAGATGATATTAATGTTACCTGTGAATGTGTGAGGATTTGAGTTTTTCTGTGTGTTTATTTTCTTGGCCCTGTCTCTTATGAGCCTCTGTGTTGTCCTGTCTGCTCCTGATTGATCCCAGGTGTTTCTCATTCCCTTTATTACCCTGTGTGTATTTAAGTCCACCTGTTGTCTCTGGATCCTTGTCAATCGTTTAGTGTCTAAGTTGTCTTAGCTGTTAGTCGTCACAGTCGAGCTGGTGAAGTCCTGTGTCATTAAATCATCATTTATCCTTCTACCTGAGCCCTCGGCATTCACCGCACCCCACCACCATGTCATGACAGAATGACATCAAGCTTCGAGTTGCGCTCCAGAAAACTGCAAACATCAAGACTGATATGAACAGCAAAATAAGAGTAAAATCAGTTTGTTATATTAAGAAGCTACAAGGTACCAAAAATATAATTATTGAGACTGAGACCAAGTTGATGTCACAAAAAATCACTCTTTACATATGTTATTAAAATATATTAATATGTGTGTCACTGTAAGGAATCCGGTTCAGGGTTACTAAAATAATAGAAAATTAGATCCACTTCATTACATTAAAATAGCCATCACTTTTCAAGGGACAACGAAAGCTTATTGATTAAACAATCTAATTGGTCTGGGTTTGCGTCATAATCTGCACCATAATAAAACAGATGCATAACACAAACTTTTAATAACTTAGATGTCTCATAACATTAACTTTAACAGCTTTTAACATTTTATTATCAGAAGTTCTTATTTCGTAAATGGCTACTTTACGAAATAAGCACTTTGAATTGCCTTGTTGCTGAAAATGTGCAATACAAATAAAGTTACCTTACCTTACTTGATTTATGTAAATATCTGGATGAATGTGTCTGGATATGCTTAACTGATATGTTAATGGCGTCACAAATGCTGAGCAGACGAGGTTAATGAAGATCAGAATGCGGTGCTCCGCTCCTGCTATCGGAGTAGCAAATGCTAAATGTACAATGTTTAGCCTAGAGCCTGTCTACCAATCGCGGGTATATGAAAGCAGTCGGTTGAATTAGCTCCCACTGCGATGAAACAAAATCACGATTAAATTAGGAGTTTACAGGTGACACACAAGTCTTTAAATACAATTA